TGACTGGTCTGTAGTTCATTTGTTATACATAGTCACCTGACAAGTGACTGCAAATAGCAGTTTAGGTATGTATCATATCAAAGTAGCTCTTTAATTTGATAGCATAAAATCAATAAGATGCTTATGGCTCAAAACAAGACCGTGTACTATATAGACCATTCTCCCTTCACCAAACTGTATAAAGTATATTTTGGCTCTATTCCTGCTGAGAAGCTTATGTTCCTAAATATTGACTGGAGTATTTAGTTGGAGTCTCTAGCTATCTTTCCTTAGCATTAACTAGTAGAATTCTTATGTATCTCAAAAGTTTAAGAATAGGAGTGGATTGTAAAGGACTTTCCTTAAATAAGAAATGAACTAAACTGTTAAATAATGAAAACATATATTTATGTATCTAGTCATGGAGAGATACACACACAGTGTAGCTTTGACCACATTAAAAAGCAGTTGTTGTTTTTCTAAATTAAATGTAAGACCCATGTGATCCTAACCTAGGTATTTTAAAAAAGAAATTTAAAAAGATGGCTACACAAATGTTTACACTTTTATTCACCTTTATTTCAACCTGCAGACAAATGAAATGTGCATCAGCTAATGCACAGATAAAATGCGGTATATCCATGTAATACCAAAGAATGAATTACTACACATACAACTAAGTGATTATATATGATAGTGTTATGGGGAGTGAAAGAGGCTTGTCACAAAAGGTTTTGGACTCTACAATTCTAGTTTCAAAAGCACTCTGGAAAAAAAATAAAATTATAGGGACAATAGTCAGATAAATAGTTGTCATGGGATTGAAAGCACAAAGGAATTTAACTGCATAGGGGATTTGGGGATAATTTGGAGTGATGGAAGTATTATATATTTTGTTTGTATGGGTGGTGACATAATTGGTCAAAATGATGAAGTGCACTGTATGTAAGTTATACCTCAATTAAAAGGAAAGACAATGTGTGTTTCAGGGAGGTTATAGAAACCATAGAAGATAATTCTCCTTCAAGTTTTCTTTTTGGTTACTTAGTATTCTCTGCTTATACCTCTTATATATGTAAGGTCCATGATATGTTTCAATTTCTTACTTTGAGGCTGAGATACTGCAGACAAAATTATGTGTCTTTGTGTGTTCATCTGCAGTCCCTGAGTTAGATTTGTGATTCAGTATCAAAGTGCATTCTTATGGTTCTAGGTTTCTATTTAGTACAGAATAACTTAAAGGTGGAATTTGCATGCTTTATAAAATACACCAAGATTTTATCTGCTTCAACTGGATTCCTATATCTGCCCTGTGGCAGTGAGCATGGATGGTATAGCTTTGAGGGTACATAAAGTGATCTCCAGTTATGTCTCTGAGTCCTGGCCAAGAAAAGTTTCCTCTACTGCTCTGCAAATTATTTCCCTATTTCACAATAATTCTGAAATGTGAGAAAACACTAGAATCACTATCAAAAATAGTTAAAATAACAACTTGCCCCCTTATTCCTCCAGTTATTCATTACACAATAGTTCTGGGGCAGGAGCCAGTAATTTGCATTTCTAACAGATTTCCGAATGATGTTATTGTTGCTGGTTTGAGGTATAGATCTTGAGGAACTCATTTATACTTCCAATGATGTAGTGTCATAAATCCTGTCCACATACAGGAGCCAACGTTTTGCTTTTAAACTTTTATCATTTCATGGCTATTGTGGGCCTTCTCTGGTGCGATCCAGGAAGTTTATATTTGTAATCCCATGGAAAAGTTATAGTGTAATTCTAGCAAGTTAATTCCACCCTACCACCTCCAGTGCAACCCACAGCAAGCATAACTATATTAAGATATATTTGTTGTTGTGGGGCGCCAAAGGGGTCCTATATATACAGCTAGTAAGATGGCTAATCAAGAACAAAGGCTATGATTCAGGGCTGAACCCAGGATTTATTAATTCATCAAGAGGGTGTGGCCCTGAAATGAGTGAGCAGAGCTGGGGCAGAAATTGTGTGGGATGAGCTGGGCTAGAGAGGAGGCATGAGATGCCCTCTGAAATGTGTGGAGAGAGGGATACACACAAAGTGTAATCTGCATAGCACAATTCAAGGCATTATCTATTATTTTGGGACCTGTGCTTCAGATGTCATGTGTAATTTTTGAAACCGAGATATCGCAACCCCTTTTTTAAGGCTCAATCCCAGGCAACAACATGCAGCATGGCTCTCCCTGCTATGCAGTTCACACATGCTTATTAGAAGATATGGGTTAGGGCAACACTGACCTGTCACCTTGCTTCCAAGACTGCACATTAGCACCTGGCTACCCTGATGTGTGGGTAACTGAGTCAAGTAAGTACATATGAGTCATGCTCTAATATTAGACAATTCTGTAAAACAAGAAAGAAATAATCCTAATAGTATTCATAACATTAGATTCAGGAAAATCTAAGTAAAATTCAGAAGTTAAAAACAATTTGTGTTTAAAAATCACAAATATATTTTTTTCCTAAATGCCAAAATAGATATTGAGGGCTGAATGTATACATATGATCAGAATTCCTCCTCTGTTAACGTAGCTGTAAAATACATTGTATTATAATCCTATCTATTGAATTTTCTTTGTGATAGATTAAATGCAGCATATTATACTTAGACTTGATGTCTCTCTATTCCTCTAGCACCACCCACTTCACTGATTATCAAGAGCCTTGAGAGAAAATAGCTCATTGCACTGTGTGATTACATGCCTCGATAAAGGAGTAGCTCACTGCCAATTATCATTACAATGCCATATTGATTTTTCTCATTTCCATTATGGAAATTAGAATACGTTTAAAAAGAGTTTCCATATGTATTGGAGATGTGACTAGTTCTGAATCTAAATTATTTTTAAGATATTTTCTTCAGTGATTTGATGACTCTTACTGATATTTGCTTAGAAATGTCCTAGTTATATTGGTAAGCTTTACCTTCGATAGGTATGAAGAAGATAATTTTTTTTTTTTTTTTTTTTTTTTTTTTTTTGCGGAACCAGGGATTGAACTCAGACCTTTGTGCTTGCCAGGGAAGCACTTATTCTACTGAGCCCTCTCCCTCGCCCCTGAAAAAGATAATTTAAAGATTATGGAATAGAAACAGTCTTTAAATGTTATGCTTAAATAGGGTTAAATCTGTAACATAAGAGCCAGGAGTGTATCTCAGTGGTATAGCACTTGGCTAGCATGCATGCATGAGGACCCAGGTTCAACTCCATGTATCACACACACACACAGAGAGAGAGAGAGAGAGAGAGAGAGAGAGAGAGAGAGAGAGAGAGAGAGATGTCAGTGCTCCATAGAAAGTCTGCTGCTACATATGTATGTATGAGTTCTTGGGCATTATTAGGCAGCTTGTGCTGTTAGCCATCCAAGCTAGTAAATTTAATTAAATTTAAGTTAGAAAATTTCTTTTAGCATTGACTGTATGTATATATTTATTTAGTGATTATAAACCCCTCTGCTAAGTGTTCTTGGAGCTAGAAAGAGGAAAGCAAGTAATATATTGTCTTTAGAGAATTTATAATCCAGATTTGTGTGTAAGAAAAGGATGGCATGAATCATAATGTCAGATAGTAGAAAACAAAAATCACATGGGAGTTGAAAGGGAGAGCAACTAGTATTTGGTTAGAGAATGTACAGGGGAAAAACATTAATGACTCAAAATGACTAACTTGAGACTTGAAGCCTTGGAGAGATGGTGTTGGGATTTTCTTCTAGGAATTATTTCAAATAATTTAGGACATAAAGTGTTTGGAAGGTAACAGGAGTTGTCATCCTAAGCTTATTGACACATGTGCTATATAATGTCTGCATCTTGAAAGGTACATTAAGGTCAGATCAGAATGTTGGGTCAAAGGATTAAATGTGGGGCTGGGAAGATGGCTCAGTAGGATAAGCGCTTGACTGGCAAATGCAAGGATCTGAGTTCAATCCCCGGTTCCGCAAAAAAAAAAAAAAAAGGATTAAATGTGTTCAGTAATTCAGGGTAACATTTTATAGAGAAGTCTGTTTTTGAGTGCAACTTAATTTGGCATTTTATAAAGTGCACAAGATAAAATAATTTGGCTAGAGAGACCCCACTGGGAGTTTCCAGGCATATTAAGGGAAAAGTAATTTAGGCTAGATTGTTGGAATAGACAGTGAAAAACACGGAGGGGTCATTTGGCAAAGTCATTCTAGAAGCAGAACACTTGTGTCTAGATGCTAGAAAGTCAAATCAAGTGCTTTGTCTTTCAGGTTTCTCCCATACAGAGGATTTAATGTATTTAAATACATTCTGCCATTCTCTCAAGCTTGCTTACTCAGCTCCTGCACCCTGGTCTCCTGACCATTCCTGTACAATACAAGCCAGTAGCTAATACGTCAGGGCTCAGTTTATCCTTCGTTCTTCAACTGGGAAACTACTTACATCCTCCAGGGCTCTCCTCAAACAGCATCTTTTATGAAAGATCTTTCACTGATCAGGCATTAAAGATAACATCCTGGCACTGCTTTTATTGCATTTCTCAAGTGTTATTTTTCTTCAGTGCATCAAAACACTGATTATATTGCTGTTAACCATCTGTCTGCCTCGCTTTACATATTAAGCTCCATAAGGGTGTTTATTTTTGTTGTCTTAGAATAAATGGAAAGGTGAAAGAGAATGATAGACCAAACATTTATACTACTATTAGAAATCTAAAGGATTGAAAGTGTAATAATACTGTTAATATCAGTAAGAATGGAAGAGGAATTGATTCAGGGGAGTGAATAAAAGGAAGAAAAATTTAACTCGTAAATTCAGGCCTAAGCATATGTTGTGGGTAAAACAAACAAGGCAGTGCTATATAAGTGATCAAAAATATGGAGGGAGTTCTGAGATGCAAATGAAAATTTCTTAGTCATACTCATAGAGTTCGAACAAGACTTTCAGATTTGCAAACCAAAATTTCAATTTAAATAATGTTTTAAATATATGAAATTATTTACACTTTCTTTTTTATCATTTAGCTGGGTTAACAACTTTGGCCATGAAGGTCTTGGACTGCTACTGGATGTGCTGGAAAAGCTTCTGGACAAAAAACAGTAAGAATAAACGTTTAGAAAATTTTGCCAAAGAAGAAAATGTTTAAGCATGACAGGTTATTCTTTTTTTTTTCTTATTTAGGCAAGAAAATATTGACAAGAAGAATCAATATAAACTAATTCAGTGCCTCAAAGCATTTATGAATAATAAGGTAAGTAATATTTATGCCTCTGCTACTAAATGGGAGAGCTTGGCTGACAGTTTAAAAGTCTGAAACACATAAAATAGGTGTGTATTCACTTTACAAAAGGGCTTTTATGATGCCAGTAATCAAAAATTTATTTCATATTATTTAAAATATATATCACACTATATTTATTGGTGGACTTTTCAGTCATGCAAACATATTCATCTTGTTATCAAATTAGGTAATGCTTATTTTTCTTTATAGTAGTAGAAAAATTTAAATGTCATGAACTGAATGCCATTTCCATACTTTTTATCCTATTGCAAAGAAAAATTAAAGGGTAAGGTTTGACATTTTTTGCTAAGAATGTTGCAAGTTTAAGATTTCTCTTTTATGTTCAATAAATGTTGGTGACTTAACATAAATGAATTATATCTGTAAGTTTAGCAGAGATTTTAGTTTTGTATGTGTATAACACTAGGAATACCCGAATTTTAGAATGTTTCTGTTATTGATTTAGAAGTTATCTGCTCTATATAACTATAACTCACTTAATTATTAATTACCTAGACAGTGCTTTAATAATTTTAAAATATTTAATGGAAGTAAATAATTATAGCTTAATAGAATAGAAATAATTATAACAATAACAAGAAACTTGCCATATGAGACATTTATAGCTATTGCTTTAATGCTACAGGTAGTGCATTAAGATTATATATTTAAGTGATGTGCTATGTTGTGCATATGCAATTATATATCACTACATTTATAAGATACATATATGAGCAAAAAATATTGACACATGCCATAGATACTTGATAGTGGACTGCTGAATAGGATATAATTATTATAGTATTTGTGGATGCCTTTGTTTTATTTATTTTTATTTTTGTTTTTATTTTGGTGGTACCAGGCGTTGAACACAGGACCCTGGGCTTGCCAGACAGGTGCTTATGTCAATGAGCTCTCTCTCTAGCCCTCTTGATGTTTTGAATAGAAAAATTGATAATAGTGCAGAATTTCTCAATTTCTGCACCTTTATTCATTGGCTATACGTTATACAGAATCTGATACCTAACAAGAAAGCATGTGTACTGTGCACTGCTTCTCAATGGGTCGGGATGGATATCTTTCTTTAATTGGGAGAAAGAATGATAGAATGAAAGGAGAATACAGTAAGAGAAATCAAGACTTAGGGAAGGAACAACTTAGATATGGGAAAGGAAAAAAGAAAGCGGGAAGGAAAAAAGAAATATATATATATATATACATACATACATATATATACATACATACATACATACATACATATAGGTTAAGTTGGATAATTGTACTGCTGATTTGTGCTGGTCTATTGAAAGTAGCAGTTAATGCTTAATTTTTTCTCTCTACTTTTTAATTTTTATATTTTTGGACTCAATTTGCATGCATATGGTAATCTGAACAACTAATTTGAAAGCAATATGCAATATAATTATAATTATTGAATTCCTATAATTTTTTTACTGAAATTCTGCATTGTTTCCATTTTTAAGCTATTTTTTGATTCTTTTTAAAAAATAGAGGGCTGGGTTGCTAGCTCATGGGACTAAAGTGCCTGCTTTGGCAGAGTGCAGCAGCCAGAGTTTGATCCCTCGCATGCTGTGTTGGACCCGCCCCCCCGGGCATGCTGAGACAGCAGTTGAGACTGGAATGGTGCCATGTGCCTGTTATCCCAGTGCTTGGGAGGCTGAAAAGAGGAGAATGACTATGAGTCAGATCTACGTAGTGACACCCTATAAACCTTGTAGACCCTGTCCTAAATACAGAAAAAAAATAAAAATAGAAAAGTTTACACTTTGCCACTAATAAGCTGCCCTTGGAAAATACCTTGTCCTCTGTGGCTAATCAGTCCCCTTTTGCATAAATTGAACTCTAAGACTCTTTGTTTTACATTCTTATTGGCTTGTGTTAAATTCTTCAGCTTTCTAGATCAACTAATCATAACCAGGATAGTCACTAGAGAAATTTATATTAGCCAAATTTCTCAAAGAAACTTTTCTTACAAGATACTCTTTGATGTATCAACACATTTTTTTCCTAAAGAGATTGTCAATTTCGAAGAACTAATGATTTTTCTTTGTTTAACCTAAGCTAAGGTTAAGTTTTATTTAGATAATGTTTATATCTTACATATAGGTCCTCAGCACTTGAATAAATTGATATTTAAAATTATAGGCATTTAAAACAATGAGCATAACTATGTATCCAAGATATAAATATACAGTGAAATATTCATTTCATGTTAGGATAAATTGTCCAAATCTAGGAAGTGAATTTTAATCTGGAATGACTTAAAAGATCAGTTATATTTTGTGGCCACAAGAAGTTAGATTACTTAAAAATAGCATTCCTTCTCTTCATCTTTTACCACCATCTATATTGAATAGCTCACAAAGACAGTCACCTCACTCACCTTCTAGATAAATTTTTTTGTTTGGTTTTATGAAAGGAAATTGAACTAAGACAGATGCTAGGCCATATTGGCAAAGTGGCATCTTGCAGTAATTCCCTAAGGTGATTTCATATTAACCTTAAATATTGTATTCTTTGTTTTAAAAAAACCCAAATTTTTATTTGAGAGACAGCATGGTAATAATTGATATGTCATGAGAAGAAGTATGTATTTAGAAGACCAGAATGACAGGCATTCCTAGCATGACCGTTTTATTACACATTGCTATCTTCAGTACAGTTGCTTGGTTCACAGGTATCAACATAAAAATTGTATTCTTTAGACACTGTTACTGAAAAACAGAGAAATAATGTTAAAAGTTATTAAAAACTGTTACATAACTGTATATTAACAAATCTTTTTCCTGAAAATGTGACATTTAGAAGCTTTAGCAATGATTCCCTCCTCCAAATTCCTGTAGAAGTTAATCTAAGAACCAAGCTATTGTTCATATGTTTGATACTTAACTACAGGTTAGCTTGAAATGAAAATCTTGTTCTGATGAAACGTTGTCAGATTTCACCAATAGAATGTAAAAAGAAACAACCATATTTCATAAGAAATGACTTGGGGGACTTAGAGGAAAGAAAACATTACCTTCTTCAGCATAAGAGAAAGTTATGATTTAAGCTGTTTTTAGACTTTTATCTATTATCTACTTGGTAGAATATGTGTATGTATGTGTGTGTATGTGTTTACATACACATATGGATTCATGCCTAGAAAATGAATGAAAATGGTGTCTTGTCTGCCTATTGACTATGACACTTAATAATATTCAGGTCTCTTATCTTTGAATTCATAACCTTTGTACAAAGGGGAAGAATAAGAACAGGAAGATACGGAAAATCTATACCAAGAATGATTGGATTTTTCACTGGTGTATAGTATATAATTAGTTGTTTAAATTTTTTACTCGCTGTAATTTCCCATGCAAACTTGTTGGATAATTTAACTCTTGATTTTCAGACTTCAGCAGGAACACCCAATGGTATAGAATTGTATTAGAAAATCATATTAGTATGAGTTTTAAATTGTCTTTGTTGATGAAGTGCTTATTGGGCCCATGTTTCTCTCAAAGTTTTGTGGAAATTGTAAGGTGGACTAATGAAGATCACGCCTGAACAATGGACAAAAACTCTTAAGATATAGTCAGCCTAAACAAAAAGATAACTAATTGTATTTGAAAAGGGTATATATTTTTGGGGTAGGACCTTAGTGTGGGTGTAAAGTTTGTTTAAAATCATTTTACGTTGCTTTCTTGATATGTTCCATAGACATTCTAAATTTGTTGGCAATTTTTTTCCTTTAGTTTGGATTGCAAAGAATTCTAGGAGATGAAAGAAGTCTTTTACTACTGGCAAGAGCAATTGATCCCAAACAACCCAACATGATGACTGAAATAGTAAAAATACTTTCTGCTATTTGCATTGTCGGAGAAGAGAACATGTAAGTATTGCTGTATTTACTACAGAGAAAATAACACTTGAAATCAGTTTTACTTTTGTTCTGTTTCTTTAAATAAATTGCATGAAAAGTGTAATAGAGCTTAGAAAATTATTGATTGAAATTTTTATCTTGTCTATTTATAATTTACCATTTGGTTGATATTATGGAAAACAGCTTTAAAATAATAGACTCTTGATGGGAAATTCTTCAAAGATGAGTTCAAAATAAATGAATAGAATTTTACATTGCTGAAGGTAAAGCAATCATTACAAACATGGGCAAAGCTCAGTTGTTTTGACAAATACATATATATATATGCATGTATATATGTATATATTTATACACATACATTCTAAGCTGCATATCCGGCAATCTTAACCTCCTTAATTGAATAGAATAGTTGCCTTTATTTCATGCTAAAACTTTATAACAGAATGTACTTTACTTGTCTATGAAAACAAAATAATTATTTGTCATGTGTAATGAACTAACATCTCAGAACGGTATTAGAATAATGTGTTGTTATATTTATTAAGTGTGTGTGTATTATGAAGTCAGCAAGTGTTGTCGAATATGCTTTGGATCATATCTTATGGGAATAATAGTGAATCAGAAGCAGAATTTTAGTACAATGTTATTAATAATCCAGTTTAGTAGAAATCACAATGATACAAATGACATGTGCTTTGGACATGAATTAAAATATTTCTTTGAAATATTTTATGTGACAGTAGTACTTTCAATTTAAATCAGAACATGACCATGCAAAGATTTAAGAAAGTATTTTTTTTTGGGGGGGGCACAACCGGGGATTGAACTCAGGCCCTTGCTCTTGCCAGGGAATCACTTATTCCATTGAGCCATCTGCCCGGCTCCAAGAAAGTTTTAATATGGTATTTTTCCCATAACTGTTAAAATAAAATAAGATATTGCTTAGTGTAGGCTACTGTACTCAAAGCTCAAAAGACAAACATTACAAACATATTATCTGTAACTTAATGAGAATAAATGAGGTTGAATATGCAAAAGTAAGATGTTTGTAGGCATAATAGAAAAATTAGTTCATGAATAAGAAACATCTTTCTTCTTATTTAACTTTTCAATATATAATTCATAAAACACAACCTAGACTGATATATTTACTATATTTTTTTCTTTTTTATTTTTTTCTTATTATAATTTAATTATCCCTACAGATATAATTTGATAAAAGTAGGAAACCATAAAAAAAAACAGGCCCAGGAGATAGCACAGTGGAATAAGCACTTGCCTGGCAAATGCAAGGTCCTGAGTTCAATCCCTGTACTGCAAAAAATAAATAGGTAAATAAATCAATGAATATAAAAATAAAGTAAAAACATGAGGATAGAGAGGAAGAAGAACAAATTGAGATGTACCAATTTCCCATTATGGATGTAGTCATTATGTACTGCAAACATGTTCTAATAAAAAATTTAATTTTTTTTAAAAAGAGAGTACAAAATAGCACTGAAACAGAAAATTTGCAACTGATACAGAATTTCACCTAACAGAGTAATACAAATTTCACATTATCTACTGTAATGCATAGTATTGTCTTCCAGTTATTCACATTAACAGATACATGCATGTAAAATTGAAAGAAGAAAGAAATGTATAAGAAATTATGAAGAGAAAAGGGACAAACAATTGAAAAAGTGAAACAAATATTAAACATTATCTTTTCTTTTTCATAGTGGAAAATTATACAGTGGTAGGGCAGTTTGATGTTAACATTGTAGAGATTTTTACCAATACTTTTATTCTGGTAAATAAAGTTTTTGTGCTATATAGAGATGAATCTCTAATTAAATGAAATGTCTTTTTTAGAAAGTTCCTTATTCTTATTGTATAATTCATTCTTTCTAGCACTTTGTGTTTAAATTATATTGGTATCTTTATTAACACATATTTTCATAACCTAAAATTTCAATATATTGTTATATAATCAAATGTTCTTCTCAAACTCTTTCCCAGAAAAATTATGTTCAAAATTTTTCTGAATTTTTAAGTTATTTGACATTATCAATATTTACCTTTAGAAATATGTTCACAAGAACACAGTTGTAATAGTTATAATTTTCTCAAGTGAGAACAAATTTTTTCAAGAGATCTATTTTACATTATGATGCTTATAATTAAAAATAATGTGTATTTGAGATTAACTTAAAGGGTAGATTTAGTGTAACACATATACAAGCATATATATATGTGCCATTGTATATATGTCATTTAGCTTGATTTTACCATTTCACAATATATTCATATTCTGAAACTTTGTATCATTAAATATATATCTATACACAGTTTTCTCATTCAAAACCATTTAATTATAATTTTAAAAATTATAGTTGTCTGTATAAACTCTAATACCAAAAACCAAACAGGTAAGACTGAAGGAATAAGCCATGTTAATAGTATATGTGTGTGTGTGTGTGTGTCTGTGTGTGAGAGAGAGAGAGAGAGAGAGAGAGAGAGAGAGAGAGAGAGTCTGCTTTCTGTTTCTTCTTTTTTACCACTTTTTTTTCTCTACAGTCTGGATAAACTTTTAGGAGCTATAACTACTGCAGCAGAAAGAAATAACAGGGAGCGATTTTCACCAATTGTGGAAGGATTAGAAAATCATGAAGCCTTGCAATTGCAGGTCAGTTAATTTTGTCTTCAGTTGCATCTAAAACTATATTTAGAGCACTTGTTTGTATGATATCCTACTCCATTTTACCTGGTGTTTAAATACAAAGGAATGTAAAAGTAAAATTCCTTCTGTTGAAAGTTTTAATATTTAAAATTAGAAAACTATTAGTGAATTAGTATGAATATGGCCCTTATGATTGTCATTGATATCATAATTTACTACTTAATGTAATGAACTCAGAAGTTAAGGACTTAGAGGTAATCAGGGCCAAAGGGAAAGCAATTGAGTCAATGTGTTATCCTAAAATATGTTAGTGAAGTCTGTGGGCCTTTTGTAGAAATTTAAGAAAATGATCTTTGTCTCTTTGTGCTATTCATAGGTCTAATTCACAAAAATAGGGGTGATTGAGTTACAACCCTATGCCAGGGTACATCAATAGCCTTCACAAAATATTTCTTTCAGAAAATAACAAAAAAGGCTGGAGAGGTAGCTCAGTGGCTTAAGTGCCTACCTGGCAAGTGCAAGGTCCTGAGTTCAATCCTAGGAAACAAAAAATAAAAACAAAAAGAACAAAGTGAAACAAAATAGAAAATAAGAAAACAAATTTGCAATTTGTATGGTATGATATAGGTTTAATAAAGTTGTTTTATTAAGAAAAATAAAACAAGAAACATGCTGTCTTTCATTAGATGTTTACAAGAAATGCCCCATTTTATGAAAAATAACTTTGTTCTTGCGGGACAAGAACTCATGTTTATTGCCTATATATATAAAATATTTTTGCAGATTATAATATTTGACAAATTAAAGTCATGTTTATTGCTTGTATTTATAACATTTGGCAAATTATAATATTGGTAAGTTGAACTCATGTTTATTGACTGTTTTATATTAGATAAATTAAATACCTTAACTTGCATATGTCATTTGATTTAATTACCCAGCTCAACTTTATAGGTGCTACTATCATCTCCATTTTGCTTATGAGAGATATGGGCTGAATGAATTTAATTAACTTGTGTAAAATCACTTAGTTTGTAAGGAGCAGAATTTGATACCTTGTATTCCTGATCTCTGTTCATAATCTCATTCTTTTAGACAGTGTATCCCCTTTAATGCAACATGGAAATGATTCTTTGAAAGATTTTTAAATTTCTGTATGGTCATGTAGGAGAGAACATTGTTTCATATTTAATTTCATCAAATTGTTCAGTATTGAGTGTTGAAATATTAAAATTTCTTATTTGATATGAAACTAACACAGTTAATTTTTTACTTCCTTACTATGAAATACTGGTATCTTTTTGAACCACTTTGAGAATCTGTCAGACAGATGAACTGCCTTGGCTAAAGATCATTGGTAGTGTGACAAATTTATAGTAAGATAAATGTTTAAGATATGCTTTTTAAGTCAAATGTGTTTTTTAAAAAGCTGGGATTTTTCCTATTTTCCTTTATTTAATATATTTGTCATTATTGTGAAATTTAATCTCAATGAAATTTCATACCTGTACTGAAAAATTGAAAACTGTCTCTTTTAGTTAACTTTTTCAAAGTTTTGCCTTTGCTCCTGGGATTTGGCCTATAACTGTTTCAGTGAAAATGTCTAAATTTCTGAACATCTTGCAAAGTTTATATAGTAAGAGTGAAGTACTTCCTTTTTATTCAGTGTTTTCATTATATTTTATAATCAGCTTCCCATCCTTGGGCCAAGTATATTTACATATTTAAGGAAACCTTTTAAAATGAATTTTTTAGAACTACATTTTGTGAAGTATATATCATTATCTCCATTTTACTAGTCAAGAAAATAAATTTTCAGGAGGCTAAGTAACCTACTCAAAATCACGTAGCTTTTAAGTAAGAGAAGTGTGACCTGAATTCAGATTTTTATGAAGGCAATTTGTGTACTGCTTTCTTTACCTGTCCTTAAAGTGGTGGCTCCACTACACTGGGATGGTATTGACATTTGGTAGCTCACAGCAAGTTGGTCAGAATGGAATTTTTAATGTGTCAAGTGTTTAACAAGAAACATATGAAAAGTTATGGACATCTTGGTAACTACTCAAGAAATTGTGGATATTGCTTGTAGGTGTAAACATATGCAAGCTACTATCTGCAATCTCTTACCTTAACAAGTGACCAAAAGTTAGTGATTTGTTAAATCCACAACCTATTACTTTCACAAGAGTGTGAAGTGGGTTTATTTGGACTGTTTACTGTGAATGAAGACTATTCTATGAAGTACAAAAATATATTTATGACACAGAAATAAAGAACAAAAGTTTCATCTTTTGTTTACAAAAGATAATTGCTGTGGTATTTTAACAAAATGACTTTTCAATATAAGTAATATACTGAGACTTTTCAAAATGTTATAAGAGTCTCAGGAAGTAGTTCTGGTTAAATATAGGACTAAAAGTATTTTTAAATAACAGGTAAATAACTTTCCATTCCTATTTTTAAGACAATTTATTAACTTCTAGATTTTTACAGTTCAAATTTAAAATAAGATTTTATCTGTGATAAAATTTTTGTTATTTTCAGTAGTCCATGAAATAGATAAAAGATAAACTTTATTTATTTACTTACTTAGATGATACTGGGTCTCAAACTTGGGACCTTGCACTTACCAGGCAGGTGCCTATGCCACTGAGCTATCTCCCTCGCCTTGACTTGTGCTTCTAACTTGTCTCTTATCTCACTTTTTCATTTTGAAGTTCATGCCTATAAAAGAATAATCTTTCCTTGTTTTCTAATGTATTTTCCACAACCCAGCTTCCTCATGGCTCTCAAAAAGGTCTACAATAATCTTCTACATTTAAGATTTTTTTGGGGGTGGGGGGAGGAACCAGGGATTGAACTCAGATCCTTGAGCTTGGCAGGGAAGCACTTATTCTACTGAGCCATCTCCTCGGCCCCTTTTAAGATTGAATCGTTCTTCCTAATCTTGATCACTTGGCACTACTGACCGATCCCTCTTTGAAAATATTGAAGTGTTAACTTCCCTTGCCTTTCCAGGCAAAGAGAGCCAATAACAAAAATTTAAGGTTTCTTGAAAGCAAGCGGTAATACGCAAGCATATGTCCACTCTTACATAACTATGTCTCTTAATCTGAGCAACAGATTTGACAATAAAATAGATAATATTTCAACCATTATGAATCAGCTATTCTTGTTTTGAAAATCTGTAATATATGTGTTATGGTCTGTGTCTAATTGTCCCCCCAAAGCCTCATGTAAGTTATGGGGTAGACATGGCTGGAGGAGCAACACATGGCTTGAGTGGGGGGCCTGAGGACCAGGACAGGGCTGGAGGGGTGGGGCCAGAGAGGTGCGACCATTAAACTGGCTAGCTTGTGCTTTCTCAGAGATGTTGGAGAAGGTCATCCTGGACATGGGAGTGCCCCAGCCTCTCCTCCAGTGTCTTGAAACCTCCAGTAACCATGAGCTAAATAAACTTTTCCTTCCCTCATTTTGAGAGTTGGGTATTTGTCCCAGCAATGAGAGAAGAGTAACTAATACAATATGTATTGTTGTATGTTACCTTGTTTCTGATTTTTGTTCTTACTTTTGTTTTTACTCATTTTAAAAAGATTTTATCGTTATTACTATTTTTTTGTATTTTAGGGAAGGATTTACAGGGTGTTCAGGGTCTCACTACTAGATTGGACTCTTAGTGATCCACTTGTTTACACTCTCCCAAGAGCTGGGATTACAGGCCTTCCTCTTATTTGAAAAATCTAAAGCATAAACAAAGTGCAAAATAAAAGATAGGTAATAGGAAGTAGAGAGATCATTTGCAAAAATGAAAGGAAATAAGAGATGGAGGGAGGAGAGAAGAAGTGGATAAAGAAAGAATTAAATTGTATTATTGTACCAACTCTCCATGATGAGTATCAACATTATGTACTGTACACATGTACTAATGAAAAATAAGAATTAAAGTAGAAAGAAATATGGTTTCTATTTAGTGTTCTGACTTTCAAGACTTTCTCCCATATGTACTTTATTTTTTTTAATTTTTTCACATTGGAATATTTTTATTAATTTTATTGAGAAAACAATTGCAGTGTGACAGCTTCAAAACAGGTTGGTAGGAGAGTTATAACAATTAATACATTGCATACTGTTATCTTTGTAGTAGTCATTCATAGCACAAGATGCAGACATGGTATCCTGCACAAACACTATTAGTACACATCTTTCTTCTTGAATAAAGAGAAAGTAGCTATATATCTATCCTAACTGTACTTTATTTTTTAACCAAACTAAACATAGTGTTTCCTAAATATGCTGTAGACTGATAAATACATTCATTTTTTTATTATGCACAACCCAGTGTAAAACTTCTCACCTTTACCTAGGTTTCCTTCCTCTTAGTTGAAGAAGAACACAAAAGCTTAAGGATAACACAATAGAAGACAAATTTGAGTATATACTGAAATGTCTGGGAAGGCTTCAGTTATGGGGAAATACTTAAAGTAGATTTTGAAGGATAAGAATTTTCTAGAAATAATCTTTTCTGATAAAGAAGCAGTATTACGTTAGAATGGGCTATAAGAAGGGCTTCCCAGAGGGAGAAAATAATAGACACATTAATGTGTCGGTTATTTCACCAAAGAAGATAGAGCAAGGTAATACCAATGTCTTGCTGAAAATTATTTCTAGTTAGCCACACAATAAAACCGTGGTTATACTGAGCATTAATAATTAGTTATTGGACAAGGACATAGTATTGTTAGTATCCAGTGATATAGTGCCCATAGTCTAAAATTAGGAGCCATGTCCTTATAATATTTCAAAAACTATGGTGAATCACATTAACATGATTTAATATATTTTGAAAAGTTGTTTTCTAAATGGTAAAAATAGTAAAAAAAAATCCATGTTTTATTTGGATTTGGCTCACAAAAAGAAAGGAGTAAATATACCTTTTCCAAATGTGCAATAGTTTTCACTTATCCAGATCTGACCTGCTTAATGATTTATGATTTCAAAATATAAAT